CTCGTACGAGTTCGCGCGATAACAGACGAGTTGGACGATTTTTAGCAGAAGTCTGGCTCGGGCGAGGTGAATCGAGATTATTCGAACCGAAGCGATAAAAATCGCGGGAATCGAAGTTTCTCAATTTACTCGCAGCTCTTTCTTTCTTTCTTTCTTTTCTTCTTCTTCTTCTTCTTCTTCTTCTCCTCGTCTGTCTCAACGTTCCTTTTCTCTCGCCTCGATCCTCGAGAAAACGCAATTCCCTATGCATTAGGGAACGTAGGCGAATGAAGAGTTCCGAAGTTGATAACGTAGAGGCGATACCTTATCGACGAGGGGCTGGCTGAAGCACGCGTGAAATTTTAAACAGACGGAAACGACCAACGCGGCGAAAGTACTACACCTCGCGTGGTTCTCGCGCTGAAACTTGCGCTGCCTGCTGGCTCTGTAACCGGTTTCGATTTATTCGCTCGAATAAAACACTTGAAAAACGAACCGCCCGCTTTGTCCGCTTTTTGCACCGCTGCCCGTTGTCGCTTTGCTTTGTTCGTCGCTCGGGGAGCTGACGTGGAAATTGTTGGCCACGATTTAGAGAAAATTAGTTCGCTATAATATTCGGCGTAGACGTACGTGAAAATGGAAATTAAGGGGGAAATTGGACGGAATTTACGTTCTTCATTTTTTAAGGAATTTATAATTAGTATACCGAGGATGTTTGTGCAAGTACACACTTTCATAATTCGTACTTTTTTAGATGGCGTTTTTTACAAAATTTCATATTTTTATATTTCGTGCGATAAAGAAGTGAAGAATTTATTCTCTTACTTTTGATATATTTTTATGTGCTCGTCCGTACCAATTTTCACAGTTTGTAGTAACGAAGAAGTGAATTTATTTCCTAAATATCGTATAATCCATTTTGCCTCTTGTTCCTCATACACTTTTGCGTACATGTTTTTCCATATTTCAGCGAAATATATAAACATCCGATTGATAACTAGGTTGAAAATCGCGAATCGACGCGGTTTCTTTTAACTTTTAACGTAAAAAGGAATTCATGCGTCTAAAATAAGGAAGAAGACTCCGCGTTGCTGATAATTTGATAAAGCGAAATCTTAAATAATTTGCGCGAAGGATGAATTAATAAAGACGAGATATTTATCCAGAGAGAGATATAATTTCTCTCCGGAACGCGAGTAGCTGTAGCTTTTTCACATCGTACCGTTAGGTATTCATCTTGCCAACTTCAGCTCCGTCTCTTCCACAAAGAAACTCTCCTATCGATTGCAACTTTTGTACACCTTCACCATTTTCATTTGTACCGTGTCATTGGTCACCGAGTTTGAGAAACTTCTTTGAACAATTCCTCTTTCACTCTTTCTCTGTCCCTTTTCCTCTCTCCTTTGACATGCTCGAGGACATTTCAGGGTGTGGAAATTCTGAGACGTTATTAAGCAAAGTTGCCAGATAGACAAAAGATTCGCCGGAGAAAGAAGAGTAGCTGAATCTATCAGGCTAGATGACTGTATGAGAGGAACTGCCATATGACAGTCATCCATGGATAGTCATCCACTTTGCATGAGAGATAATAAGAAAAAGGAAAGAAAAGCAAGAGGAAAACTCCGAGTTAATCATTAATGAAATGCAATGAAATATAAACGGATAGCTCGGAATAAAATTCAGAGCGTCGAGTAAACTGAAACTGTGGAATACAAATTTTTAACGATGAGAAATAAATATAAAAAAAAAAATATTCGTACAATTCTACATTAGAAATTGCATTGTCAAATGGAAAATTTGCCTTCGGAACGTACAGCGTACAGACTTTTGTACCTTATCGAGGAATAACTCAAGTATTATCAACTCGAACATGAGGATACCAGGGAGCGCTTGACGACAACCAGATACTATTCCATGTTAAGCATCACTTAACTGAGATTCACGGGAGCATTGTGTGGTCACGCTAGCACTTTTCACGAGAGTCTGAATCCTCGATTCGAATCTTCGATTTTTACCAGGCACCAGAGTGTCGAAGCTCAACTATATCTCTTGACAGAGACAAGTGAAGGTCTATCCTTGTTTGATCACTTTCCTCAAAACTGTTTCTGTCAACAATTACTCGATTACCGTGAAATTTTCTGAAATGAATTTCTTAATTTTTTCTTTTGAACAATGTTGCGTTAGATTTGTGAAGGATCGAAAGAATCGAAGAATAAAAAGCAAGAACACTAAAGAGAAAGAAATTATTTTGTATCTAAAAAGAGCAATTAAAAGAATGATAAAATATTGAGTATGAAAAAATGAAACATAAAATTCGAAGCAATAACAACTGAAAAGAAGCTGCAGTGACAAGCTAAGAACAGTGAAAATAAGAAAGCAAAACGAGAGCTCCAAGAGGAAGATTTCAAACAGAAACCATGGAAACGCTTTATAATAGAACAACAATGAAACCGGCGAAGAAACAACGCTGTAGAAAGGAAAGTGTCTTTGAAAATACGTAAAATCTACACTACCGTATGACAGAGAAAAAAATAAACGATGCTGAAATTCTTCCGACATTGTACTATATATTGCAAGTTCATATTTTTGGAAATGTAATTTAAAAAATGGGAAACTTTTTTACGCATAAGTATTTTATTTACACGTAAAATATTATAGAATATATGTTACAGTTTTATCAGATATTTTATCAGAGCGAAATTTCTCCACATCTCTCGCGTTTCCCTCGTTTCCAACGTCACTGTTATCGATAGTCAGGAACGAGCATGCATTCAGCAGCGAACAAGAAAGGGGAAACTCGTCGCGGAAGTTGCTAGTTCCCGTTATTAAGCAGAATCGCGGAGACAAAAGGAGTTTCCGGCGACGAGGAAAAAGTAATCCGGACCCGACGAAGAATTCCACGATCGATCGCAATTTAACCAGACTCGCGAGGGAACCGCGTTCGGTAACTCGACCAGGTGAACAACCGAACCGGAAGTGTCTTTCAAATGGCGCTCCCAACACCGGCAAGTTTTGCCGTTCGTTCATATTGATCGCCATCTTAAGGAGGAACGAATCGAAGAGACCGCCAGCATCGAATAACTTTGATATTAAGGATTATAATTTTAATCTTTTTTCTTTTTTCTTCGTTACTGTGCTAGAAACATAAAATTTCTCATTTTCTTTGGCTGAGAACTATTAATTTGGGCCTTTTTATGTTATTTGATTGAAAATTCTGCTGAACGATTTCCAAAGACGATCCGTCAGTGGTACAAATACTCTATTAAATTATCAAACACTGAAATTTTTGAAACTTTTAAGAGTAGAATGATAACTCAATTTTTTTATGACCTAGCATCATATTTGTGATTTATGTGTTACGTCTTCTTTTAAATCCAAGGGCAACCGTAACCAAATTTGTGAAACGTACACATTGAATACTGATTAAAAACACTGTCGCGCATGGCGTGTAATACAAAAGTTTCAACTCGTTTCTATCGTTTATTTTACATATTTTATATTTTCATTTCTATTTTTGTATTTTTATATTTACCATAATTCTTGAAAGACAATTATATTTTATATATAGATGTGATAGTGTGTGATACTCTCATTCCGAAGTCATTCAGTAGCGAAAGGATTAACTAGGAAACGCAGTCCATTTCGAGTCCGACTTCTCGAGTACGTGAAAACGGACGAGACACGTGCCATCCGACTTCTCGCAGGAAGCTCTGACCTCTTTAACTTGCAGATGATACGGCGACTTCGAAATTTTCTGCTTTGAAAACGACCGTTCTCCCTCGTGAGTTTCGTAATTTCGATATCGATTACGCTGGCCCTTTCGGAACGTTTGCCATCGGTCCATTTCCCTGTTACTTTGTGCGGCCCTTTCTTTAATCTCCACGTGTTCAAATCAGTTTTTTTTTTTCTTTTTTTTTCTACGGTACTCTATTCCGCTGTGTTTGATATAAATACTAGTGGAATAACTCGAGGATATATCAAAGCATATCCATCGTTCGCGTACAGCGCAAAGAATTTCACGAGATGTAGGCAATGCGAAGAAGGATTCTTCGCTCCAATAATTATCTAGTGCAGATCATATTTTTCAATCCTAAAGTGATATAAAATTTTTATCGAAAAATATGTACGATAAAATTTCACGAGCGCAACATCTGCAAATCCGACTAAATTCATCCCTGATGTATCACAACGAGTTTAAAGATTCTACAATATTTGAATATCTCTACATTCGCGATTTACTTATTCATTGGCGAATTGCGGCACGCGACTCCGGGGAACAGAAACGCAACAAAACCTGGCCGCGCGATTGAAATCGTGCCACGAGTACGTAGATAGAAAGAAAAACAGAGAGAGAGAGAGAGAGAGAGAACGTTATCAATATTTCCTCGTTTCACCGATCGAAAAATCGACAAGCGTAGCATCGATTTTTCAAGAGTCCTTTAGACCCCGAGGCCGCAACCCAGCTCCCGGATGGAACAAAAAAAGAAAAGAAAAAAAGGAAAAAACCAAAGAGAAAGAGAGGGAGAGGGAGAGGGAGAGAAAAGAGGGAAAAGAAAAAGCCCCTCTTTCATTCGTCTGAAATTTCCGATAGAGTCGGCGAACGAGCGCGGCGGAAGATAATTTCGCAGACATCTCACCAGTTTCCGGTACCCACCGCCGTCGGAACAGACAGAAAACGAGATGGAACGAGATCGAACGATCGGCAGAGCAGAAGAGAGAGAGAGAGAGAAAGTGTGTGTGTGTGAGAGAGAGAAAGAGCAAAGGAGTATTTTCGTCAAATATTTACACCGACGATACTATCGGCCATACTACACACCAAAATATCGAATCGGCTGATATTTTTCGACCGCGTGACGTGCACACCGACACCGCCATTCACGGTTGATTTTTATCGAAAATATCTCTCTTACAGTCCCATGATATTGTATAATACGCGTATGCAATTCAATGGAATCGAATCCGTCGTCGTTGACGCGCTCGATCCGCGGCCCATTGATCTGTTCGATTTATTGTCGTTGCAGAGGAGTGCACGGCGGACAGATGCAGCAAGGTGCCCTGTTCCCATGGCGGCAAGTGTCTAACTACGGGAGGCGACACGGCCGTGTGCCTCTGTCCCCTCGGATACACCGGCGATCTGTGCGAGACCAGGGTGGATCTTCAGGTAAATATCTTAAGAATATATGTATATATATATATATATATATATATATATATATATATATATATATATATAGAGAGAGAGAGAGAGAGAGAGAGAGAGAGAGNCTCTCTCTCTCTCTCTCTCTCTCTCTCTCTCTCTCTCTCTCTCTCTCTCTCTCTCTCTCTCTCTTTCTCTCTCTTCTTTTCCGCCTCCCTTTATAAACTCGTCTTTTTCTTCCATTCCTCTCTTCATTCCAGTTCCCCTCCGATTCCTTTTCTCTTATTATCCCTCCTTTTTCTTCTACTTCGTCTTGTCGTCGTCGTCTTCTTCTTCTTCATCTTCTTTCTTTTCCTCTTTTCATGCATCGCGTTCCTCCCTCCCGCCCCTCTACGATTCTCTTTACCGTTCGCCACTCGCGATCTTCTTCCTTTTCGCGCTTTCTCCATCGTGTTCTCTCTTCCGCCCTGTACACACTTTCTCTCTCTTTCTCTCTCTCTCTGTCTTCCTTCCTCCCCCCTCTCTTTCTCACTGTTTCCCTTTCTTGTTCACTTCTCGGTCTCTCGGCAATGCAACGCGCGCGGCTCAAACACACCGGTATGTATATAGAAACGCGCGCGGCGGTGCTTCGCCCCGTGCATGCACACACGGTGGCGCATGCCACGACCTCGAGCTGTCCTATCGTCCTTTCGCCGCCACGAGAAGTATGCAGACGTTGTAACTTACGATTAAACGCAGACGGTGTTGATAATAACAGTTCATTTCTCCGCCGCGCTTCCGATCCCGCGCGCTCTCCGCCACGATGATACTCTGCTCTACTTTACTGTTGCACGCTGTTGTACGTACGCAATGGTAACGCGGGTATTCCGCGGCGACAGCTGTTCTCGCGCGCGGGTAACTTCGTTAATAAATCAATGAAAAACGAAAGAAAGAAGTGCACGGACGGGCGTATTTAAGGCACGAGGTATAATCAGGGAAAAATTGCCGCGCGAAATATTTATGCTGGAAATTGGACGGTTTCTCGGAATGATTGAGGAAAACCTGCCATTTGGCGAGCCGCTCGCACGGGGATCGATACACCCGCGAGATCGATGCCTCGTGTCTCGCCACGCGTCCCGTGTCGTAGAAAGGGTTCGCGTTCGACGGAGGAGATTCTTTCCTCCGTTACGTTTTAAAATCCCGTTTGTCTCGTTTCTGCATTGCGAGATATTTTAAGAACGCTCACTGTAATATTTGCACTGATTGTCACTGCCGTTGACGATAGTGTAATCTTAGATCAAATGACGTCAGTGAATGTACGTGGGAGTTTATTATCAATTGTATCATCTCATCAGAGATAAGTGAAATTAGACAGAGATAGCGAGATAGTAGTTCCAGAGTTTTTCGATCTCGTATCTTTCAACGTTTTTAATGGGGGATCGACCGCGTCAACTAGGCTCGAATATCTCGCGTCGTTTAATCGCTACAGTCGCCTGTAGAGTTAATTAAATACTTCTTTAATACTAGAAATACTAGTTCTACCACGATCGGTCGAAAAAATACACAATAACGGAATATTTTATATTTATTAATTTATTACTATCTTACAAAAGGAATTTAACGTAACAAAGAATCCATAAAACGTACCAATAAACGTACCATGTCGTGCAACACTCTGAATCGATACGAAAACCTTTTCAAAAATGATGACAAGCGAGAACCACTTAAATCTGACTTACGTCGTACACGAGTGGCGGAACAACAGCGTTGTCTTTTAGTTCAAGGGTCGCTGGTCTTTGTTTTGTATACGTAGAATGTCATAAGCAGTCACACGTCCGACGTGGCATTTCGCTCACGGCACGGGGGCAGAAAATGCGTGGGCCGCAAATAAAACCCTCGCGAATCTAATCTCATTTAGCACGCCACTGACGTCACCGGAGGCGCCCCCGTGACGTTGCCACGGCCGCTGGTGACGTATCTCTCTTTCTCTCGCCTTTTCTCAACTCGTCCTTGCCCAGGGGTGCTTAAGGTCGAGCCTAATGGAACACCTTCGCGCCCCACGCAGATTTTCCTCGTTGTTTTCTCCTCAAACGAAGAAAAAGAAAAGAAGAAAAATGACGTTACCTATCACTTAAATCGAATCTAAATGCCGTGAGACATCGATTTCGTCCCTCCGTACATTTTCCTCGGAATACGAAGGACGAATTTATTTTCTTTCGTAATGTCATAAAAAATTTCAAACGTGTGGGGAGTATGAAAATTTTTTGAATCGTCAATTTTTTTCATCGTTATTTCTAATGTTGCCCGAGTAGAAGAATTGCAGTATACAATAAAATATTATTTCTGAAGAAGAAACTGAAGAGTATTTTCTAAAACAAATCTAAAATTCTCTGGCAAACGGCTGGTTTTTAATGTCTTTTGAAAGTACTTGGTGAAACATTCTGTTTGCCATTCGCTTATCTGTTTCATATTTCATGCGTACCAAAAAACATTTTCTTAAATAAATGTAATAAATAAATCCCCGAAACAGGAGAGTCTAAACTTTCAGCAGAGAAAAATAGAAAGGATTTTGAATTTTAAATGCCTCCGAGATAAATATTTTTAGTGTGATATTTTTTATAGATATTTCCTTTTATAGTAACGTATAGAGTCGAAGTAAGTAAAAATATTCGAAAATATATATACACACATCGATTCATAATTCAAACGAGTGAATTATTTATTCAAATGGAACATACCTAATCTCTCACGAAGAAGGAAATACGCTTTATATTTTTTTTTCTTTTTAGTATGACACAATACTTTCTCTTAAATTTTATTACACATTTTCAAATAGCAAGAAAAGTGTCTTTTAAGGGTAAAAGTATCTGTTAGAAATAAAATTAAAGAAATAAAAAAGAAAAAGAGAAAGAAGAACGTTAAAATAAATAAAAAGAAACACTCTTGCTAAAAAATATTTCCAACCTTTCAATTAAAAGTCACCGAATTCGAAATTTCCACGATTGAACGAATCCTGTAAACCCTCTTACAAATCAGTAATAGAAAAAGAAATCCGCCGGAAATCCCGTCGAAAATTTTCACCAATTCACAATCGATCGATCGCCGTTCGCTCTATCGATTCGTTCATTGTCCAACTAACCGTCTCTTTCGTAATAATATTCGCTTCAAAGGGGACGAACGCTGTCGCGAGTGAGTGTTCGTCATATCACGATGCCACTATTTTAACGCGGAGTACATCCGATGATCAGCAGAGACACCTGTTGCTCTTTAATTTGACGTAACGCGTATGCGATCATAAGGTCGTTCGGCTTTGAAAAATTGCTGGTTCATTACGAAAGAGCAGAGCAAAGAGAAGTGAAAGAGAGAGAGAGAGAGAGAGAGAGAGAGAAGCATGCGGAAAGAGCGCGATAGATACGCTAAAACTTTTCCCCCTTGCGATAATTCTCGCTCTATCCTCTCCCTTAACCACCCTTTCGCTTCATCTTTGTTTCATCCGCGCACACGTTGATTAACTCAAACGATCTCGTATTCGCAGATCGTAAAAAAAACAAAGTCGAACTAAAAGAAAAAAAAAAAAGAGGCCACTCTGTTCGAAGTTTATTTGTAAACTGTCGATCTATCGAACCTCGGGAATAAAAGCATCCAAACCCTTATTGCACAGGATGAAGATCCAGCTTTAAAATTCTGACAGGTTCTAAAAGACTGGGAAAAATAAATGGAGGAAAATGTGAAATAAGGTTTTTTTTCATTTCTAACGCTCAGTATTCATCGTAGATGACAAAATTTTAAAATTGCGTATGTATTTTCTAATATAATTGCCGTTACGCTTTCGTCGTGTTATGAAATTTATTCAATTTTGAAGGAAAGCAATATCGTGCTTCAGGTCCCAAGATTCTTCTGGTCTAGGAAATTCAATTTGAAAATTGATTAATCCCAGTTCCAAGTTACTTACACCTTAAAATTTTTAATTTAATTTAATTTTATTATCGCTAAGAACTAAATCCGATATAAATTACCAGATTTTTCAATTACTTCCAGACGTGGAATCCACCCTCTTGCCGATCACGTACTACGATCACCCTTATAAAACTGTCCCCCGTATTTAAGATACCATCTTACCGTTCAAAACATCGACCTCGCAGCCACGAAATTTGTTAATTATCGATCCCGAAAAGGCATTCGATACCGCTCAATACCGCAGCAGAACGGTGAAACGCGTAGGATGTCCGGCTGGGAATCATGGTCCTCGCTTTAGTCAGCCATTGCGGCCGAGTACACTCGGATCTAGGTTTAGACACGCAGACGATAGGCGCGCGTGAGCCAGCTCGCGTCAGTGTCTGGCTACCAAACGTCGAAACTAAATTCTTGGCCGCGTTAATCGAGCAACGATAGAGAGAACTGGCTGGCTGTCAGGTCTAGTACGGTCTGTGGATGAACCTGGACAGGATGCTCGGATCGCGGTTTCCATTTGGTAGTGTTTCTCTTGAACCTTGCGTTTGCCTAAAGTCAAGGAGGAAGAAGGTCGATGAAAAGCATGAGAGAGAGAGAGAGAGAGAGACAGACAGAGAGAAAGAGAGCTAGATGGAGAGGAATATATATATATATATATATATATATATATATATATATATAGAGAGAGAGAGAGAGAGAGAGAGAGAAAGAGAGAGACTGTGGTTTCGAACGTGTACTAAGATACGTGACACTTTGAGTGCCCAGCGTCTGCCGTTTCTGAGAGACGATTTTACTTACTTACTTGCGCTGGAATGACGTACCACGCACGTCGAGAATTTTTTATTCCAAAATTGTAATATTTTCTCAGTCTTAAGTACGTTTAAATAAAACAAAATAAGCAAAACAAATAACAAATTTACTTCTCAATAATTTCTATCCAGTGATGTCATACCGACGAGTTGAAAAAGAAAGCGACGAATTATTCTATACGGTTTGGTCACTCGTTATGGCCTGCAATCAGTTGCCAGCGCAAGTGGTTAAATAAGCGATTTCCGCACTTACTTTATTTGTAAACGTACTGAATTTGAACAATA